CGTAGTGCACTGATCGATTAGGCTAAGCTAACCTGTAGCTGCTCCCTCCACACTCACAACAACTTCATACAGACATAAATAAAGCAGCTGTATTCGCCATACAGGAAACACACATTTAAAACGGTTTTGCCAGCCGTTTTTGTGTACACAAGCATTCAATGGTTCGGATAGTGGCTCCATGGAGCTGTCAGCTCCGGACTGCGCAAAATGCGTATATGAAGCGCTACGTCATGAACGCAAGAAATCTACCCTCGTGGGGGCGCGCTCATGTGATTGGCTTAGAATTGAGGAGACATCTGATTGGCTATAGATAGAAAAATTACAAGTACGAATCAGCTGACCGTCAGGGGAGTCTCAAAAAACCCACACACGAATGCACAGCGATCTGTGCACAGAAAGCGGTTTGTGTTTGCAGGTTCAGAGGATTTAAACGGAAAACAAATATGTGTGGATCAAACATACATATGTAAAACTTTTTTCTGTATTTGGATTTTATTTACATGTATATGAAACGGAACACATTTGTGTGTGCATTGAAAAACACAAGTGTGGATCCGGAAATACAAGTTTGAATCCATTTGCGGATCATGAAATACAAGTGTGAATCCTTCTGTGTGCATGTGTGTATTATGAGACTGTTCTGAGCCCATAGGTCTTTGTGTTACAATACAAGTGTCTCTTAGTGAATGTCCTGTACTGCTCTTAAATCTCATCACATCAGCTTCTCCTTTCCCTCTTGGATGTTCTTCTGGACCCTCAGAGAAAGAGAACATGGTGAAGCAGTCCTGTCTCTCAGGCATGTCCTTTCCTAACAGAAATATCAAAAAACATATTATTGCAGAGCAAGTGTGTTATTTAAGAAAGAGGTGTGTTTGTTTGTTCATAAATATAATGATTTTTTTATTTTAATGTGTTTTTTAAATCCAACAGTGTACTGCAAAGATAATCAGATTATGAATAAACCGTTCTAAATTCCTCAACATTGAAATAAATGTATTATTAAAATAATATTTAACTGTTATCAAAACTTAGTGCAACTGTAGAAGCTTGCTCTGTCCGGTTGTCTCACTGAAAGACAAAGGGTCGCAGCTCTCACTATGTTCAATAATATTTGCCTTAAATACATTGAAATGTGAAAGTTGAACAAAAAAGTGATGTTGCTTGGTAAAATGTAAATGTAACCTTTTGCTAAGAAAGTCCACTCAACATCACTGATGTGTAGGTGATCTAGTATTCACTCAGTCATGTTTAATGGCATGTATATCAGTGTATTAGAGTCATTACTTTATGCATTCTTTGTAAAGCATGAAAAAGGTGTACCTTGGAATCCGTGCTGAAGTTCTCTGCTGCTAGGACTCCAGATCTGTCTCTCCTCCTTTGGTCCAGCCTGTCTGGATCACCTTAAGGACACTTTGAACAAACAGATGTAAAGTTACATGCGTGGGTTACAGACTTCTTTACATGCAAACTACTTTTTATCTTCTTTTAAAAACAGGTCATAATCTTATTGTTATACTTAAGAAATTGCTGGATATCACAGTCCTTATACTGTATCAGTTTGATTGAGTATTATTGTGTAGGTCCTTTTTATTTTACTGTTACTTTGGATGAGGTTTTCATGAGTCAGTCAAATTAATTTGTTTTCAAATGCCATATTCATATGCATCACACACGTAAGGGTAAGACACAAACCTATTGAACAAATGCAATGCAATGGATAAGCTTAATTTCCACTGAAGTCACAGATAACGTCATATATAATATTTAAACAAATCATTTCCTTGTCACTAAAGCATTGACTACGCTATTCATCGTCCTTAAATGCAGGAATTAAGTTACATGTTCCGTTCTACAGCCACGATAAGGCTGTTTCTCAAGTGTGATGATAATACAATTAAAAGAGGCATTGGTAATAATATTAAAAACAACAATGTTTGGGTCGTTCGTCGGATAGGCGCTTAGCTGCAATAAATAACTCCAGTTCAACAAACCATATTACAATATCTAAGGGAGCGTTATTTCTGGACCATCTTGAAATGTGACGTTCATATTTTAAAGATACACACATTTCATTGTGAGGTTGATTTAATATACACTAAGCCTCTCTTCAACAATACGTTGAAGTTAGCTAGTCTATTTTATGCTATAGTAGAGCATAGCGAATTTAAATGAACCTTAACAATGCATACAGTAACCTAAATAGCAAACTAATTATCTAACGTACAAGGATGACCTTATTTTAGCAACCTCGCACAGAAGCCTTTTGGTATACAGTAGCATCCCACTTAATGTTTTACACTCTTGGATGCTACGCATAGCATCGTTAGCACAGATGGAGCTACGATTGCTCAAATGCTAACCCAACTCTAAACATTCATTAACGTTAGCTTAATAAAAACACCAGTAACATAACATAAAGTACGCAGGGTTGACTTACCGAAGAAACTGCATTCATGGACGGTCTGTTTCAACCGCAGATAAATCCTATATTTGCAGGACGAATAGTCCACCAGGAGCCAACACAACAAACACGGCCGAGTTCAAGTAGTGTTCTCCTCATGAGCTGAGCCGCTGTAGCATCACGGAGCTAACAGAGCTAGGAGCAGCAGTCCCGTTGTCATGAAGGGGGAATCTAACTATATACAGAATATGTTTTTGTAGATCCAGGCTAGAAACATGTTCATTTTCTTATGTTAAGTTGGACATTTTAACATAGGGTCTACGGGAATTGCTCCCATCTGCATCCATCGCCTATAGTTTGCAGCATTGGGCTTCACCGCACTGTCCCGGGGTTTGCCGCTTGGCTCTGATAGGCCAGAAGTCGGTTTGATTGCATTAGGGCTCGATTGCTTATCCTGTCTGAGTAGCCCGGATGAGGCTGCATCGCAATTTTTGACGTCGAATTTTACACACCGAATTTTTTGACATCGAATTTTAAACACCAAAATATTTGACGTCGAATTTTTTTCACTTGAATTTTTGGGATCTGAATTTGAACATTCGAATTTTTTTTAACTTGAATTTTTACATTTTTATTTCACATAGATAAATTCGGAGCAAAAAAAATTCAGATTCATGATTTTCAAAGTAATTATTTTCAATGCTATAAATTCGGTGTCTAATACAATTCGAATACTTCTGTCTCTTGTTTGCTTCCATATATATACACACAAAACACAATATATCCTAAGCTAAACACATACACATAACAAACATACACATATATACACACAACACACTCACAGGCCAGTTAATGCTGAAGGCAAGGCGACAGCCGTAACACTGACTTACATGAGTCCATGTAGCTAAAGTTAGCTAGCTAGATGTCTCCTAATAATGCTACTTAGAGGTAAGAAGGTATAGGTAGTTAACACTCACCCGGGCAAAAACAAGGCAACATTTGTTGTTTGATGTGTGCTGTGATTTTTTCACGATATCTGCGGCGTGCAGGTTCATTTAATTGTTTGACATAGTCGGTGTCCTCCATGATTCCTGCGTTGATGAATGATTGCGTTTTCACTTCCTGACCTCCACTTGAATTTCGCGCGTCATAGAAGTCACGTGACTGAAACCAAGCTATAGACTGGAAAGCTTCATAAGGCTTCATCACTACCATAAACCAGACCCGGCGTCATGGGCGGACCCCATGGGGCCGGGCCCGCCCATCCAGGATTTGGGCCCGCCCATCCAGGATTTGGGCCCGCTGTTTTAATCAGGGCTGAATACAACATTTTAATTGTTTTATTATTATGTTCAGTGGCGGCGCCAAGGTATACTGGGGTAGGCTACAGCCATACCAAGAAATGGCTTAGCCCCACCATGAAAAATGATTTTAAAGTAAGCTAAATAAAGTCCACCAACTCGCGCGGAGTAAATTGCACAGACAGCAGTAAATACCGAAGACTAGAAACGGTTTGAAAACTTTTGTCACGTAGTGATCGTCTTCTCAATAGAACATCTTTGATAATGTCTTCTGGCCAATCAGAATCACGATAACTGCGTGGTGTTGTTGCAGGAAGTCCCGACGGAGAGTATACTTTTGCTGTAGTACATCTCTACCAGTGACGTGCGGTGACGTTCATGGCTGGTGAGGCACTGATTCTTTCAGAGTCAGATTTACAAATATTATATTTTGACCTTAATCGAAATGTTCGGTTATTTTCAAAAGCTTTTTTAGTCTGATGCGTCGATTCATTTTAAACAGACTGTTCAACAAAAGGATACCCCAAATCTAAATATTGGATTGTTCTTTCTTAGTAAGATCCCATGTTCATTTTACAATTGTGGTCTTACCTTGACTTGAAGATGAAGTCCATGCTATCCTCTGGACAACAATCTCCATTACATTTTTGTAAAAGTCCTCCTTATCTCCCTCTAGTTTCAAAACAAAAGTCTAGTTTGTTGTTACCGTCTCTGCGTAGAATAACAGTAGCAACAAGAACATGTGGGCTCACGTGCGCCCCCTTCAGTGCGGCAGAGGTTATGGCTGCCTCTCCAGGTGCTTTTTTCATTGCCGTTGTATGGTGAGACGCAGCGAGCCTAAATATCATATATACGTGAAATAAGTTATTTAGAGACTATGGATGGCGAGGATAAATGTAATAAAGGGATCTACAAACATTACATTGGTGACATACAGTGAGATGGTAACAGGCATGCGCTTAGGGCCCGCTTTCCAGACAGTTTCTGTGGGGTGACGCATTCTGAGGTGACCTGACCCCACAGTAACTGGCTTGAGCGCGCTCACAAAATAAGTGCCCGCGCTACATTAGTGCCCGCGCTCCAGCCATTTACTGTGGGTTAGGCAGAGCTCGTCCCTGTCTCACTCCTCTTCGCTCCCATGTAGTTGTAGCGGAGCTCGGCCAATTTGCTGATTTTCACTATAAAAAGCGATTGGAATCATACAGAAATCACAACACAGATCAGTGGAGACATTTTATTATTATTACTATTTCGTTTTTCTTTAGTTGTTTTTCCGTTACGGGCCGGCCACACTACAAGCGTAAAATTCGCTTCCAACGCCCCAAGATTTACGCTTGGGGCGTTTCTTCGAGCCCCGCGACCAACAACCAATCAGAATCTCCATGTGAATCTCCCGCCCCGGACATACAAAGTGAAAAACCCCGGTTCTTCTCCACTATTGCTAAAATGGATGCCGTCTACAAAGGGGGGAATACCACCTTCTCGTCCAGGAGCTCCGTCTCGATGACCGCCTTTTTCAGAGGTACTTCAGGATGAGCAAGGAGGTGTTCGACGAGTTGCTCGGAAAGGTGGGCCCACTGATTACAAAGGTGGACACCCATCTGCGTATGTCAATCGGCCCCGCCGAGCGACTCGCCATCTGCCTACGGTACGTTTTGTGTATTTCTACTTCTTTAATCTGACTCTGTATAGAAGGAGAGAGAATGCACGAATGATGACTGAAGTCTGTGATTTAGTTCAGATGGGTAACATTAATTAAGATATCTAGGTAAACACAGTATTGCTCCCCTGTGTACATGGCGTGTGTGTCTGTGTCTGTGATCAATGTGTGTGTGGGGATCTGTGTGTCTGTCTGTGTTCAATGTGTGTGTCTGTGTGTCTGTGTTCAATGTGTGTGTCTGTGTTCAATGTGTGTGTCTGTTCAATGTGTGTCTGTGTTCAATGTGTGTGTCTGTGTTCAATGTGTGTGTCTGTTCAATGTGTGTCTGTGTTCAATGTGTGTGTGTCTGTGTTCAATGTGTGTTCAATCTGTGTCTGTGTTCAATGTGTGTGTCTGTGTTCAATGTGTGGAGGGGGGGATCTGTGGTCTGTGTGTGTGTGTGGGGTCTGAATAAATATATTTTGTAATCATGTATATATCTTTTTTTCTCAGGTACCTGGCAACTGGTGACTCGTACGCGACGATAGCCTTCAGCTATCGGGTCGGGCGTTCTACAGTGGCAGTCATTGTCAAGGAGGTTGCGGGGGCCATCTGGACCGCCCTGGTCGAGGAGTGCATGCCGGTACCACAGGTGGAGGATTGGAGAGCCATCGCTGCTGGGTTCCAGGAGCGCTGGGAGTTTCCCAACTGTGTTGGTGCCATAGATGGGAAGCACGTCGTTATCCAGGCTCCAGCAAATGCAGGTTCCCTCTACTTTAATTATAAGTCCACCCACTCCTTGGTACTGCTGGCTGTGGTGGATGCTGAGTACCTGTTCAGGGTAGTGGATGTTGGAGGCTTTGGGAGGAGCAGCGACAGTGGGAGCCTGCGGAATTCTGCATTTGGAGAGAGCCTCCGAGACGGCAGTCTGCAGCTACCACCTGACACCGTCATCGCAGGATCAGAGCGGCGGGGCCCTCTCCCCCATGTCTTCGTTGGAGATGAGGCATTTCCGCTGCTGGACAACCTTCTGCGTCCATTCCCTGGACGTCACCTCACCCGTGAAAGGAGGTTATTTAACTACCGCCTCAGCCGTGCCAGGTTGGTGGTTGAATGTGCGTTTGGCATCCTCTCAACCCAGTGGAGAATGCTCAGGCGTGTCATCACCACCAGCCCCGAGGTGACGGAGTTGTGTGTGAAGGCTGCCTGTGTGTTGCATAACTTCCTCCGCAGGAAGACCATTGATATGCCATCACGCACACCTATCGCAAGGTCCACGGATGAAGTTACTCCAACCCTGTGTGATGCACCGAGGATGGGCTCCAACAATGCCACACGGCAATCCATCCAACAGCGGGAGACCTTCTGCTCCTACTTCAACGAGGAGGGGGCAGTGCGATGGCAGGCAAATGTGGTGTAGGCCCATATTTGTCTCCAAACCAAAAAGCTCTTTTAAGAGCTACCCATTTTCTTTAAAAAGCAAATATTCCAAATGAGCCATTTTAAAATCAACCATTCCTAATAAACATGTTTCTTGAATTGATATCATGATATAACTAACAACCTTTTTCCTTCAGCCCTGTTTTTAGTGATAAACCACTCATAATTTATCAGGGTTTCACCTGAATAATTACAGAAGACAGCACATTATATATCGACATACAAGAAGCTCCTGGTATGTTGTAACTGACAAACCACATGAACAAGTCAAGACACAGTATAGCCATAACATACTTTTAAATAACTTTTATTTATGTGATGTTGTGTGTGATGAGTGATGAGTGTAAAAAGATGTAATGTGGATCAGTATCAGTATCTAATTAATTAATTATTAATGTCCATTTCTGTGGCCTCCAGGACCGCCTCTTGTAGCTTCATTTTCAGTCTCATGCTGCTCGTCCTGCTCAGCTTTTGCATTGCAGGCCAGAGACTCCTTAAAAAAAGGAGGTCCTCGTCTTCCACCTCCACCACTGGTGGTGGGGGTGGTGGTGGTGGTGGCATGGCCAGCATCGGGCCTACGGCCGACAGCAGGTTCTCCTCAAAAGGGGACATCTCCCTTCCCCTGCTCTTCTTCCCCCGGAATGCTGGCACACTGGCCGGCACACCGTCTGGCACACTGGCCGGCACACTGGCCGGCACACTGGCCGGCTGACTGGCCGGCTGACTGCTACCTGGCTCTGGCTGGCTTTCCAGACTGTCATCCAGGCTGTCACCCATAGAGTCTTCCTCTTCTTCTGCTCCGGTGGGTGGAGGCAGGGGTTGCTGGGGGAAATTGCTGGACGTCTCACGGTCCAGCATGAAGGGCTTTAAAAAGCTCATTACTGCCGCGAGACGCCAGGGCTTAGATCCCCCGGAAGCCCCTGCCCCGCTACTTTTCCCTTCCTTCTCCCTGCGGTATCGGTCCCTGAGGGACTTCCAACGCTTTTTGCACACTTCGTCTAATAAAATGAAAATGAAAGAATACAGTTAATTTCAGAAAATGATTGCTCCATTAATGAAAACCAAATCCCTTTCAATTGCATACAAGGTTTTACATGTCACACTTTATCAGAATCAAAAACAGGTTTATTGCCAGGTAGCTTTGCACATACTAGGAATTTGACTTGATGTCATGGTGCATATATACAAAACAAGAAATCTAATATAAAACACAACATGTATTGTACAGTTAAATTGCAAAAAGATAAAAAATTAAATAAAGCAGTAATTTACATGGAAATAGAATGCTAGGAATGAATTTTTGCATATATATATATAACTAAGAAATGTGAAAGGAGTATGACTGTGTGCATTAATGTAATGCAATATAGTCTATGATGTGGCAGCGGATGATTAACATGTATGTGATTAATGTCTATGGCGCTATTTTATGCTAAATATACCGGCTATGTTTCATTAGCTATGTTAACATGAAGTAAACTGGATATAAAATCCCCAAACAGGCGAAAACCTACCAGTTTCCCCCACTGTCTCTGCCACCTCCTTCCATGCCTGGTTCCTCTGGTTTCTATCCCGGTAGGTGAACAGGGTCACATCAAATAATACAGGGTGATTCGCTACCGCTACGATTATAACCTCGTCCATTTTATTTCAAATATAGACATGAACGGCGGGATATCTCAGGATATCTCTCCCAGCGTATGCGCGGTTTTTGATTGGCTACGGCTTGAGCTGTCAGATTTTCTGAAACGGGATTTGATTGGCTTACGCTCACTTGTCAGGAACGGAGAGAGCGTTTCGTGCGTAAAAAGTTCAACATTGTTCAACTTTTTACGTGCGAGACGCTCTCAAAGTTACGCTTGCCTTCCCGTGATGCAGTTCGGCGAAAACGTGAGCGGACGTGACGTCACCCCATTCAAAGTGAATGGGCAGACGCGCTAGAGGCGTAATTTTACGCCTGAAACGCTTGTAGTGTGGAGGGCCCGTTACATTGGAGTATGACAGGTGAAGCTCTGCCTCCCCTGACTGCACGTCGCTGATCTCTATATACATCGAAACAACATTACGTGTTGATAGAAATCAACACGTAATGAAATAAGACCCCACGGTTTGATGATTGATAGGTGTGTGGGTTGTCTTTCATTTTGACACACAGAACAATGGGGGCTATCCACCCTTATCCACAATGTAAAGTCATTCACACAGCCTCTTCTCTCTGTGAGGTGCAGCAGGTTCAGCTTTCAGAACAAAGTAACAGAAAACTAAAATGGCATTCATTTTTTAAATATGTCGTGTAGTAATAGATTTATTTATTATTCTTCTCAAGAGAGTACCAGAATGTGTATTTTATGTTAGTATTTCCTGGGGGAGAATCCCCCCAGACCCCCTTGCAGGGGTTGGGTTTTCAGCATGTCAACTCCAGCTGGTCGTCCTTTTTATTTACTACAACACAAATGTGCCTTTTTATTTCATACAGTTCAATTTGGATTGAGACAGGGAAATAATCTAAACCTCACGCTTGGCGTTTCACTGTCAAGGGGAGCGTGTATGTAATTACATTGCAAATACTGACTTGAGCCCCACCACTGTATAGGTTAGCCCTACCATAGATTACCCAACAAAAACACTCTGGAGCCGCCACTGATTATGTTTATTGTTGTTATTTGTAGGGCTTTGTCCTAATATTTATTTTTGTTTTAAACTATGTTGAAAGATTAGTTTAATATAATTTGTTGTATTATGCTATGAAATTCTGAATGAAAGACTGCGCGCGAGACTGGTTTTTCGCTGGGTTGAGTCGTGTGGGTTTTTGAGTGAGATGCGGCACAGCAGCCTGTCAGTTTACGCTTGCTAGGTTAGTTTGGCTATTATCATTTATATTTATCTGCAACAATGGATATCAGGAAGTGGTTCACACTTATACACTTGAAAGGAATATGGCAACTCAGCGCCAGATGCAGGCACATTAGAAGACATCAGTTACCAACGAGCTAGCAAGCCAGCCAGGGACAAGGGAGGCTGGCAATCAATTATATTTTGAAGAGAAATTGACTCTCAAGCCGGCTCTCTCACAAACTCCTGCTCTGTGCGCAAGCAGACCGCTGCACATGCTCTCTGCCTCGCTCAATCTCTCTCTCTCTCTCTCTCTCCCTTTCTCTCAATCGCTCAACCTTACTCCACCTCTCCACCCTGTGTGTGCTCAAGTTTGCCTGCGTGCTTGCCCAAGTTGGCACAGCGTTACAAATGTGCCACAAAACCAACCAATGGATGTAGCCTATAATAAGACCGTCAACAGCCTTATGGCAACCTAAACCCCCCCCCTGAGCTGGGGGCGTTACTAATTATGAAATTAGGAACACTTGCGCCAGGTGAAGGGCAGGTCTCACCTCGCCTTTCAACAAAAATAACCTACAACCCAATGTGCATTTTACCAGCTGCATAGTTGTAACCGTCAGTGCAGTCTTATCGCACTGTGGGCGTCTGAGTTGCTTTTTATTGTCTTGGTGTTGGGTCAGTCGTCGGGTCTGCTATCAGTATGAGAGGAGCAGGATTAAAGCGACCAGTCCTCATATTAATGATCATTGGGCTCATCTTCTACGTGAGCCTGTATATAAAGAGTGGATATGAGGATACAGCGGGGTCCGAAAAATATATTGAACCTCCTCGGGTGATCAGGAGTCTATCTGACCTGGAGACAAGCGTCAACAACCTCTGTGAGTCAAGGACATTATTTGTTTTTTCTAAGTTCATGTTACACTTTTTAATCAGGTTTAATCGGTAGCCTATAAAGATGGGAAATTGTAAGGCAATTATGTTTAATTGGATTAAACTTAAGTTATTAGACATCCTGTGCTTTTATATTCATGTTTCCACGCTCATTTCATTCATCAATATATGTAATGATGTATAAAAGTGCCCTTAGAAAATGGCAACTTTTTTAAAGGTATAACAAAAAGTTTGAAATAAAATTAACATCGATGTGTTTATACATTTTAATATATTCATATACATATGTTGCTTACTGAGGTTCAAATGTGTGCTATTGATACAGTACATTCTCAACTGATCAAAACCTGCAGTAAGTCATTAACATTTGTCTAAAATGTGCAGCTTTTGCGGGCTTCACGTAACGCCCATATTTGCCTATAAATAGTCAAAGAAACGCTCATTCATTCATTCATTCTGACTGACTGTATGAAGAAGATCAAAGGAAATGACGACAGAACAGCTAAAAAAGACATCTGCACACCGTGTCAGATTTTGGTTATTTTGGGGAGGTCGAGATAAATCATATTGTTTGGTGGATGCAGTTTGAACTAGAGTAGCAGCATGGAGGTCGGATCGTCACCAAAATAAATAAATAAGTGGTCCGAAAAAGGTTAATGACAAAAATAATACACATAGCCTTCCTCAGGCAGTGTGTTTGTACCGGGGACAGGAGACACCCCCTTGATGAGAGACTGTAAGAAATGATCGGGGAATCCCTCCGGAGTGGAGTCATGACGACTGGATCTGAATTATGTTTTCGTATTTGGTGGTTTGTGTCCCAGCTGTCGATCAGCTGTGCGCAGCGTCTCCACAGCAGCCTGTGCATCTCAACCCCCCCTCTCCGCAGCAACTCTATGTCCACCAGTTAAAGGAAAAACAACTAATGTGTTGTGTTATATTAGCTGTACAATTTACCACATATGGTGTTCTTAGTTTCCATACCTCCTGTGTTTTATGAGCGACTTATCAAGTCTTGGCAAACGGCATAAAACATGATTAAACATGGTAGTATATAAAACCATGCTCGTACAACCTATAGAAATGCAAAACAGCATCATTTATGAGAAAACATTTCATAACATTAACACAACATATTCGAGGTAGTTTTAAATAACATATCCGTATTTATTTATTTCTCCAAGTTATGTTTTTGTGTGCACTGAGGAGTCTCAAACGCGTTTGTTTAATCATTTTAAGATTGGCTTTAATCAATGTTTGAAAATGAATTCTTCATATGATAAATGAGAGGTAACATTTTGTTTATGGTATTATTTCCACATATTTCTCTCCATTCTTCCTTCTGCCAACGGTGTCGCAGTTTCTCGTCTCTCCCGTTGTTGTGCTTAGTGCGTACGCATGGGTTAGAGTTTGCGTGGAGGACCGCACGTTTTCCCGTCAAGTTAATATTTTATAAATCGCAAACATTGCGTAGAAACTGGCGTCCGCCATTTTTTTAGCGTATATCCCTTTTATAAATGAAGCCCCTGATCTTATTATTGTCAGGGTGTCAAAAATTGCTTAAAATGTGCCCAATTTGGTTCAGTGGGTCAATATAGTAATTCATTATCATGGTTAATAGAACACATGATTCTCATTTTGCTTGTTTTGTCAAGACAACCTACTGAAAGCTTTTGAGCAGAAGCAGGACACCATGCAGAAATTGCTCGAAGAGGACGTAGAGCGAAGGAGAAAAGCTGCAGAGGTCATACAGCCACCAGTCCAGAAGCTCCCAGAGCAGAAAGAGGAACCTCAAGCAAAGATCGAGGAAAAACAGGAGGCCCCTGTAAAGAAAAAGTCAAATAAACTCTTCCCTGACTCCCCCCTGTTCAAGGAGTGGGGTGGGAATCTGTCTGAGGATGAGCAAAGAGAGGCACAGAGTTTGTTTGATAAGTATGGCTACAACGTGTTTCTGAGTGATCGCCTTCCTCTAGATCGTGCTATTGCAGATACCAGGGATAAAAGGTACGCATTGTTATCTCCTATGAAGCCATAACTACCGTGTCACTTCGTACACAATGCAGGGTTAAAGGTTGTTTATAGTTCACCTAACTTGTTTGCTGATAATCCTTCACCTTTTTGTTACCGTCTGTTTGGATTAAACATTTACACAGCTTGTTAAAAAGACAAGGGTTGTGTTTCTGAACAGGTGTCTTGAAAAGACATACCCAAAGGATCTGCCAAGCATCGGGGTGGTGTTGATCTACCTGAATGAGGGCCTTTCGATCCTCAAAAGAGCCCTGCGCAGCATCATCGACCGCACCCCTAAAAACCTGCTGAAGGAGATTATTTTGGTGGATGATAATAGCTCGAATGGTGTGTATGTTTCAAGTGAATCACATTACGCTACTGCTAAATCCTGTTTCTTTGTGCAGATGCCCATGCTGCTGGAACATGTCTTTTAGTTTTTAAATATATTGCTGCTTTTAGACTGGAATCCTGATTTTTATCAGTTTTTTTTATATGAATATACTTTTCTCAGAAGTCTTGTAAATCTCCCAGAAGGCATTTTGTCAAATGATCCTCCAGCTTTGAAGCAGTTGTTTCATACTTTAGGAAATACACCTCTTGGCAAGAGTAAGTTCAGAAGCTGAATGCTACTGTCTTATCTGTAACGTCTTATCTTAGCTTTTGAAGAAACACTTTCATGTCAACTAAATATAATTCATCAGTTTAAACACATGTTGTTGATCATACTCTGGATATGACAAAAACGAGAATTCATGTTGCTACAGCTCCAGCACATTATCACCAATAAAACCACACATTTTAACATTTGTAAGTGTAAAATAATGTATTAGTCTGCTTTTAGAGTTCCTGCAATTTGTACTTTGTGACCTTTGGACAAGGCCATGCTCTGCAAATGTATTTTACAGTCTTAATGCTAAGCTGTCCAGGTGTTCGCTGTAAAACGATATCCAACCCTATCAATCTTTAATCAAACTGAACTGACAACATAAATGTTATCTTGCAGAGTTTTCACTGGTGTCAATTCAGTTCTGTTATCTTATAAGCTAAGAGAACTGAATTGACACCAGTGAAGTCAACAGAGTAGAGTTGTGTAAAGAAGGGTGGAGAACGTACTATAAATGTTAGAGCTGCGGCACTGGATTGTACTAATATAACTCATAGTTGTCCATCCTATAATTAATTAAACATCTAACGCTTTTCAGTATAATTTAAGATAAGTGGTATCACCCCCTTGCTTTGGAAAAACCAAATCTGTCACGCCTGTTCTTCCCTAATGTCATAACATATTCCCACTTTATCCTCTCAATTCAAGAGGACCTGAAGGGTGACTTTGACGTGTATGTGAAGTCGCTTGAGCAGCAGAACCCAGGCCTCCGCTTTACAAGAGTGAGGCACAATGAGCAGCGAGGCCTTTCATACGCCAGGGCTTCTGGGTGGAGGGCTGCTACTGCTGACGTGGTGGCCATCCTGGACGCACACATTGAAGTCCATGAAATGTGGTAAGAGTGTGGCAAAAATAAATCCTTTTCAATGTTAGTTTATTTATAACATTAACAGTAAGTATGTTATGTTTGTAGAGAAAAATATTTAACTTTTCATTTGAGCCAGCCAGCTGAGTGGAAGCACACTTACTCCTGAAAGGTGACAATATTTCTGGATGTAGTTTGGTAGACATTTTTTAAAACCTTTAAACTACTCTCAACAAGATATGTTTGTGTTATTCCCAAGCCTATACGGAAATAATCACAATGTTACACAATTTAATAAATGTACACAGCAATTTTGTTTTTCTCCAGTAGACCGACTGTCAGGGCTCGACAAATGATCAAAGTGAATAGTGAACCTGCTCTCCTCCCTTCTTTTCACTCATGCAGGGCTGAACCTCTGCTGACGCAGATCAAGGGGGATCGGACCGTGGTGACGTCCCCTGTGTTTGACAAAGTCAACTATGATGACCTTACAGTTATTCCATACGAACCAGCCGCACATGCCTTCGACTGGGCTTTATGGTGCATGTATGAGAGTTTCTCCGACGATTATTACAAACTCATGGATGGCTCACTGCCTGGAAAGTAAGTAAAAGTGTATCCAGTCTATTTTTACATGTCTCAAACAAATATAACATGGATGAGGCTTTCTTGATGATTTGAAATGAAACTGATGTATTCCACTGTAGAATGTTTAAAATGATACACGACTCACAGTTTACTCCTTTTTATTTCAGGAGTCCATCTGTCATGGGAATCCTAGTGGCTGACAGGAAGTATCTAGGAGAAATTGGAGTTCTCGATGAGGGAATGAAAGTGTACGGTGGTGAAAATGTGGAGTTGGGAATTCGAGTGAGTAAGCGTCGCCTATCCAACATCAAATCTGATGCAGTCTCAGGCTTTAAGCACCATTAACCCTGTCACTATTTTTGTTTTAATGATTGTGAGGTGAACAGCTATGTTACAGAGGATAGAGATGTGGATAGTGGCTATTTCTTTATTGGTAACTTCCTGGAGTCTTTATTGGTTGTCTGGCTACTTTGCCAGGAAGAGATGGTGTCCTGCAAACTGTGTGCTTTGCGCCTGCACTAATAATTTTGTTGACAGAACAATTATTCTATTTGATAAATGAGTATAAAGGATAACATGTTTAGTTTTCTGCTCGTATACTGTAGGTGTGGACATGTGGAGGCAGTATTGAAGTAGTTCCATGCTCCAGGATCGCCCACATTGAGAGGGCCCATAAGCCCTACATGCCTGATCTGTCTGTAGCCATGAGGAGAAACGCCATGAGGGTAGCAGAAGTCTGGATGGATGAATACAAACACAATGTCAATTTGGCTTGGAACTTGCCATTTGAGGTACTTAATTTGTGGGCAAACTAAATGTGGCACTTTTGTGGGCACTTCAAACTAAAAGTAAATTGTCAATAAGTGGCTGTTTTCATTGTGAAATAGCCTCCAAATTATAACACATACATTAATCACCATCGTGTGCCAACAATTTGAAAATAGCATAATGATGCTGTCCCAAAGAAGTGTGCAGTCATGTCTGTGAAAGAGCAGGAGTTGGTTATTGTAACCCTTTTTTTTACTCTTATTAAGCCCTCTGGCACTTTGTATACATGAAGCAATGAATAAAAAAAACTGGATGAAACAAACTAACTATAACAACACTGTCGATTTGTATTAGAATTCGATTTAAAACTATACTAGCTTAAAGCTTAGTATACTTGGTGTTTTTGACAGTATGTTTTTATGACTGAAATATAATTGCCTATTGATAAAGCTTTATGTGCATTTTGAGATTTCTCGGGGCATTTCTTTCCCGTGCCCCCTTAACTTCTGACAATAAACGGGGCATCTTTGAGGGAATTTCAATCACTTAAGCTACAAAATAACAATGTACACCATACTCCCTGCAGAATCATGGAATTGACATTGGGGATGTCACGGAGAGGAAAGAACTAAGGAAAAGGTTGAACTGTAAACCCTTCAAATGGTACCTGGAAAATGTGTATCCCAAGTTGGATCCCTTGGACAACCTAGTAGCCTATGGAGGAGTAAGTTTAGTTTCATCTAATGCTTTGAATGGTGGTAGAATTATTGCAAGGTGTGTGTTTTAATGATTCACTCCTACACAGCAATGTTTTATCTTCATTTGAGCTCCCATTTATATAGTTGTTTTTTTCTCCCCTACTTAAAGATGAAGAATCTTGATACCAACATGTGCATAGACCAAGGTCCAGTGCCGGGAAACACACCCATCGCCTACAATTGCTACTACTATGGACCTCAGGCAAGTTAAGATTCTAAAAGTGGTTGTCAAGATTAATCCTTAATCTTTGTCGTATTTGCTGCTGATTTAACTGCCAAAACTGCTTTTTAAAATACTTTTTAGATGACTTATTTTCGATCAAACGGAGAGCTCTACATCGGCGGCATCAAGTCCCACAAGTACAATGACAACCGGTGTATAGCTGACATTGGGAATAAAGAAACAGAACCAGGGCTGTTCAACTGCAGAGAGGCTCTGCAGAAGAAAATGGGGATCTACTGGGACTTCACTCAGGTACTATTAATAATAATAATACATTTATTTTAGGGGGCGCCTTTCATAACACCCAAGGACACCTTACAGGGTTACAGATTTACAATTTACATTTACAATTTTACCTTACAAATTAAAACAGTGGATTTAGTGAAGTATCAGCCGGGGTAAGACAAGACAAACAACAGGAAATTGACTACAAAAGGACACAAAAGGACACAGGGTACAGATTATAAAGAAAATGCCAGTTTGAACAGGTGGGTTTTGAGTTGGGTTTTGAATGTTGTTATGGAATCAGACTGTCGGATGTGTAGTGGCAGGGTGTTCCAGAGTCTGGGAGCCGAGCAGCTGAAAGCTCGAGCACCCATGGTTTTGAGGCGATAGCTTGGGACGGTGAGAAGTCCTACGGGCGGAGGGTGCGGGAGGGGGTGTACTCCTGAAGGAGGTCAGAGATGTAGATGGGGGCAAGGTTATGGACAGCTTTGTATATGAGTAGAATGTTTTTGTAGTCAATACGGTAGCGTACAGGAAGCCAGTGTAGCTGAGTGAGAATGGGGGTGATGTGGTCGGATGAGTTGGTGCGGGTGATGATCCGGGCAGCAGAGTTCTGGATTATTTGCAGTCTATTGAGGAGCTTGATGGGAAGGCCAGTCAGAAGTGCATTGCAGTAATCAATCCGGGATGTGACGAATGAGTGGACCAGGATTTCAGTGCTGGGTTGGGACAGAGATGAGCAGAGTCTGATGAAATGTAATCTAGCAAAAGAAGCAACTGGTCAAATACTGTTACTAGTAAAAGCCCTGTGTTCAAAAATATTGTTGTTGTTAAAGTATTGGCATCTAAATAAACACCTAATGTAGCATAATGTGTTTAAGACTTTTATTTATAATTAACATTTTTAACACTAAATTGTGTTAACTTTCACTAGGAGTGGTTATATCTAACCGTTGGTGTTTTGACATATCTGAAATGTTATTGTTTTACCACTATATTAATCAAATGACTTCACAAACCACGTCTGTTTTCACCAAATCTGAAAATGCATGTAGTTGTCATAATTTGGCATGTACCACCCTTTGAAATGATAGGGTGGGTTAGCTCATGGTGACTCATTGTTCAAAATGTTGCATGATGACATACTGTGTAATGTGTATACCTACTGTTTACATGTATTCTCTTTTCTAGGGCAAGGAGATAAAGAACAGAGAGACAAAAAGATGTCTGGAGATTAAAAAAGATACACTAGTAATACAGGAGTGCTCTGGCCAAAGATGGGAAGTCCAACACATAATCAAAGCCTTTTAAAGTGTGTCTGTGTGTTTGCGACCAACAAGAAGTGCACTTCTCTGCTCATAGGTCAGTCTCAAAGAAAGTCAGTCACGCTATCATGGTTATAATTTAAAGGGCACCTATCATGCAAAATGCACTTTTTTATATCTTTTATACATAAATATGTGTCCCCGGTGTGTCGGGGAACTCACGCAGCGTCAGAAAATGAGCGGATACAGATTTGCTGCCGATATGACGTCAAATTGGCGGCGGACCCACAGAAAGTTGCTATCGGAAACAATGCCTGACGTGTTTTGGACGTAATCTCGTCTTTGTTTACATTAGCAAGCCTGCTAACACTCAGAGCTAAGCTGTAGGCCTACCGGAGAGCACATGTGTTTAAAAAGCAGGAAATAAAAAAGGAACTCACCTTGTGATAAACCCGCAAGAGAAAAAGCATTTGAGCTCCATACTGTTTCATAAATAATCCTTGATGTGGTTTAGAACAGGATGGTGTTTTATCACAGCAGAATGTAACTTCATCTCCGCTAGAATTCTGATCAGGCATTAGCTCCGCCTCCTCTTCTTTCTTTTTTTTCAAGCTAAGGACCCAAAATCCGCGTTTCTCTAACAGGGCTGAAAAAGAGGGGTATGAGCAGTATGAGGCATGGCTACAATGGGTGATCTGTTTGGTATTTTATGCAAAAACATGTTTTGTATAGGTATGGCCCTACAATATATGTTTCCAATATAGCATAATATGTCCTCTTTAAGGTACTATATTTGGGATTTTAAAAGTATATTGATGAATCTTATCTTGCATGTATTGTCTTTTCCCTAAATACTGTATTTTGGATGTGATATTTTCTGACTGGACCAGAGAATGAGACATTTTATTTGGTTCTATTCTTTTAAAGGTGGGGTAGGTAATTTTGGAGAAACCAGCTTGAGTGCGCTAGAACTACAAAAAATAAATAAATAAAAAATACACAGCCGGAAGAAATCAGCTACTTCCTTACAGAGCCCCTCCTCCAACACACACGAACGCGCACATGACCAATGAGGGCACGAGATAAGTTTGTGCCCTGATGGGAGGCTGACAGGCAGGTAGGCCATCCAGTTATTTTAGCCGGGCCGGCTCAGATGATTGGTCGTGCTTTTTACAGTGCTACAGCTTCCACAGATGACATTTTTTTATGGTTTTCTTGTCAAAGCACTTAAGATATTCATTGCTATCGGGATGTTAAGAGCATTCCATGGAATATAACAAAAAGTGTATCTCAAGCCGGTTTCTCAAACTTACCTACCCCACCTTTAAGGTTTAGTGGCGTTGATGCTGTTAGGCTAAGGATCCTGGTTAGTGATAGGCATGTTTCTCAGTAGATCTCATTAGGGGATTGTTGACAGGCAGCATCTTACATCGGGATGAAACGCAACCTAAAACGATTCAGCCCATTTTCATCATTGCAATCTTTTCTCTCGGGGACACTAAATATACTATATGCAAAAGCTAATGCAAATGTAGAAGATAGTTTGCTGAATTTCTTCCATGGTAGCTGTGTTCACAACAACAAATGCTATCAGATAGATGCAAGTGCTTTCATTGCGTTGATGGAATGAAATGTTACCCTGTTTTACTTCAGCCAGTTGTTACAAATGCCCCATATGGAAGCATTTTAATGCAATACGTTTTGTGAACATCCAGTCTAGAAATATAAATGTTTTTCTTGGTAATTTATTTCAACTTTACACTGCAGTTACACCTCAGTATAGACACATTCAAATAATCAAGGTAGAAGTAAATGAAGTGAAAGCCAATGAAAGGAGAAAAGCAGTGGGCTGAAGAATAAAAAGGGTTCAGAAATGGGGGGAGGGGGGAAAAAGAGCATGCATTGATAAGTAAACTTTAACAGGACAGGTCCACAGCTTTACCAAGTCGGTAACACTTTACGGTAAGGGTACATGAATCATCATGAATTCATGCATGACTTAATGCATGAATTAATTCATGTAGTACTCATGTAGTACTTCATGAACTATCAGTAATGTACAGGTATTAATGGTATCTCATGCATGACTTAATGCAGGAACAATACCTTAATTAATGCATCAACTAAGGTATCTCAATCATCATGACTTCTGAGTTATTAATGATGTTCATGTCTTCTTCATATAGATCTGCAGTTATCTGCAGGCCAAAAAAACGGACCAGTCACAGCAATTCCAAGTGTTGTAAATCATGAGTAACTAAGCATGACTTTGTCATTACTTCATCATGTTTGTGCCCCTTCAAATAAAGTGGTGACCTGATCCATCGTTTACACTGATAAATAACATATGATTAATGGTGGTATGAAATAGAATGTATTAAGCAATTCATGGGGTGGGTTGGAGAAATTTTTGGTTTATTCACCAAAAAATACTTTTATTTTGTAAAACAGAATATTAATTGAGTGCCACAGGGAGAGATGGGTGACACCAGAATCACCAGTGGGCTGTTATGCACCGGCAGGCCTGCCAAGCACAATTAGCACCATGTGACACAGAACAACAACAGTTTAACCCATCTAGGAATATGGATTTTCATAACACAGAGCTCCGGTTCAAACAAGGAGTTGGGCACTTAAGCATGAATTATGTGAATGTCAAGTAAGGATCCATTGTCCTTATATTGGAGGATTGCTGAAGCTGTAGGCTCCTGCTCGCAAAAGCCCCTACAGGTTTCAGCAAATCTTTTGATGCTGTCCTTCCTCTTGAAGCTGGACCTCAAGGTTTTGTACAGTTCTGGGTTTACGAAGGCAATTTCAGCAATCGGCGCCTGATACACAATTGTATTGCGATCCACACCAAGCCTGGTGTATACAACAGCTTTGCTGATGCCTTCCTTTTTTACCATCTCCAGTACCATATTGTACCGGCGAATGGAGTGGTCTGGCGTTTTCACTGTAAGACAATAGAAAGCACAAAATTAGCTTGATCAAAGTGGCAGTGCTGCACATTGATTCACAATTTCATATTTGCTACATCATCAAACTCTTACACAGTTCAGTCAACTTTAGCACCCACTTATGCACAGCAAGTACAGTACAAATTGTGCAGAAATAGTAAAATACAATAGAAAGGTAACTGCACACTGGAGTCAGAGCTCTCTTAAGTTACATTAACAATGTTTCAACGCAACACAAGTCCAACTCAAGAAAACCCTATAGGACCACACTAGAACTACCTCCCTGCACTCAAATGACCTCCATAAAATGAAGTGCAGGATGCAGTTAGCAGGGTTCTCATTTTTACATTTTGTCAGGTTTATTCACTTTAATTTAATGAGTTACTACAAAATGATACTCTTGACTGTTATCTGGTAAAAGTGTATGGGAAGCCAGTGCTTGTATGATTACCAAAGATTTTTGTTAGAATGACAAATGCCACTTTGTAACAATGTAATTAAAAAAAATTGTGAGGACTGTGTCTTCACGCTTTTCATAAAACACCAGCAGAGTGGGGTGTCTGTCGAGCGGTAAAGGATCCATCTGTTAGCTGACTGCACTATGTGTGCATATAGATGCTAGTGGGAATCAAGTAAATACACAGGCTAGGATCATATGTGTGAGAGGCAAAAGGACACATACAGTATGTCCATGACAACTGTAATCTTTGAAAGAGAGACTGAGAGGTTTAGATCCAGCTACCATGCAGACTTCCGACAAACAAACTTTTTCACATCAAACACCCATAAACTGACACAAATTAATCCACGGATGCCCATTTGGTTCAAGATGTTGTCCCAGGGTCCCCCATCTGATAGGATGTTACTTATAGATGGAATTATAGTGAAAATAAATCAATCCCCTTTTTGCTGGTAATGTATTTGTAACAAAATTGACACAACATCTTGACAAGCAAGGCATCTTTCAGCTTCTGTGGTAATGGCTGTCACCTGCTTATGGTGGACAGTAGCAAGTACATCTCTCTTAAAAACAATTGCCCTCTGCAGTTGTGTGACTTTTGTAATACTTTGAAATGACAGGCTACTATTGAGGACTTTGTCGAGGATAGGTATAACATGTTTCTGCAATCTCGGTGGGTCTTTCTATTTGATATCAATATTGATTAAGTGCTAAGCCAACCTCATTTTGGAGTGACAACTGTATCACTTGAGTTTTTGAAAGAGTCAGTACATACCTCGCAAATGTTTCCATTTTTTCTTGTCCGATTTGCGCTTGAGCTTGCGCTTAGACTTGGACTTCTTCTTGGGCTTCTTGTCCTCAGATGATTCAGAACTTGATTCAGACTCGGATGAATCGCTAGATGACGAAAGGTCCGATTCATCAGAGTCCTCTTTCCGCTGTCCAGGTGGTTGATCTCCAGGTGGGATCTTCGTGGCTAGCTCGCCTCCCCTTTCCTTTCTGAGTGCAAGAGCTACACAAAACAAATAAGTCCACAGTTTAAATAATTACCGTATACTTTCTACAAAAACGATGTTAATGAATGGGTTCCGGACAGCTTTAAATGTATGTACTATGGCATTTGGTCATTAAATGTTTGTCAGGTTTTACTTCTGCGATCTGAAAAAACGTTATAAGTTAAAATTGTGTTACAGAATGGATGGTACCTCTTTTTGAGTGAATATGTATTCTTTATGTTGAGTGTGTAAATTATCTTGGTGTTTTTCTAATGACTTGTCTATTCTGGGGAGCTTTGATACCTCTACCGCCAAGAAATCAGAAGCTATATTTTGTGTATTTACAAACCATGGTTGGTAGTCTTTTTATTCACAGTTCAACTCAAACAATGGAATCAAAAGCAAGTTTTGTAGATGGAGGCCTATGTTTAGAATATGTTTGAATAGTATTGTCTTTTTAAATCTAAATTTGGAAATAAAGTTGATGTTTAAATTGGTTTGTCTTTGAATTGTTTTTGTTTTGGTATCAAAGAAAAGTTATAGCCTATTGCCTCACCAGCCACTGTATTAGGTACACCTGTTCAACTGCTCTTTATATTGCTATCTTATCAACCAATCAAATGGCAGCATCTAAACGCATTTAGGCGTGTAGACATGGTCAAGATGACCTGGTGAAGTTAAAACGGAACATCAGAAAGGTGATTTAAGTTACTTTGAACGTGGCATGGTTGTTGGTGCCAGACAGACTGCTCTGAATATTTCAGAAACTGCTGATCTACCAACCCAGTCTCACAAAAAAACGTGTAATAACTACGTTGGTCCACAACTTGGGACGTAGTATTTCTAAAAAAACGCCTCTGAAATTGTAAGATCCCTACGTTTTTTTTCACCATTCATTCCAATGGCTGGCGTCTATGTCACGTGATCTTCACATTTCTCTCTGCAGAAAAGAAATATGGCTGACATTCGTTTTATTCGTCCATGGTGTGTGTGTCCCCCCTGATGGGAGAGGTTAGGAAGACATCAAACTCCTCCAAGAAACAAGGAACCTTGTATTATAGAAGCCTCTGAAGCCCTCGCTCATCCTGCAGGGTTGTCTGCTTGAGCCCACCGAGCAGAAAGATGAAGAAGCATCCCATCTCCTCAGAAAGTTGAAAAGTAGAATCCTCTCATCTCGAACGACCTCGTGCTTCCTTGCCCGTGGCTGGGGGTGCTCTCTGCAGCCGGAGAGTGTGACCCTCTCTCTCTGACCCTTGGCCTTCAGAGCTGTCCTAGTTATTGGGTTAACACTTGATATGTTTTCCTGAGTGAAGACAACTCAAGGTAATGGATTAGCACATTATCATTTAATTACAAAAATAGGATAGGCCCCTCAGAATTATTTGGGAGCCTTCCTGACATATGCACATGCATAAATGTAAGGTTTGTGTTAGTCATTTAACATGCAAGAATCATAAACTCATCAGTCCAAAGCAGAGACATTTTATTTTAAGTTAAAGACGAGCTTGTCCCTGTGGATATAACCCCTTCTCAATGATTCTAAATGTTATATTAATTCACCATTTACCTTTTGATAAAATATTAGTTTATCAGAAATACGTTTTCTCTTCCATAAAACAGGTTTGAGAAATAAATGTTCCAATATAAAAGCAATTACTCAATATAATTGACTCTTCCCTCCCTTTTCTTACATATGTCCCATACATATTAAATAATAACTTAAGGGTCTATTTAAGCATGGTATAGTTTATAATCTATTATTCGAGAAGACTCAGTATCACCTGTGTGCAGCTCACAAAAAACAATTGTGAGAAACATATGATGCAGGAAATGTATACCTTTGTTGAAAAACAAAGCATATCTGATTTGGGAGGAAAAGCTTCATCCCGCTTAACATCTGAGTCACTACTGATGGCATATCATGAATGGAATTGGGTGTCTGAGGGTGTTATTACTGAGGAATGTCAAACAAATTCAAAACCTTACATTTGAAAACAGGTTTGCATTCCTCCACTTAAGGTGACGTTATCATTGGAAACAATAAAAGCTAATTGTTACGACGTAGAATCTATAAATTGAATTGTTAGAGCAGAACAGAATGGTCATATTGTAGCCTGAGTTTCGTGCAGCCTTTAGTTTTACCAGGTGGAAACATCGTCCATATAATGTGAATACATGCAGAATTAGACATTAAGAGGACCCTGACATTAGGCCTATTTTAAAAATAGTAGGGGCTTTTAACAGCTTGCCAACTTACAGGCATCCTCTGCATAGCAGTATGAATAGCCTTAAAAGAAAAACAACCCACCCTGTGGTAACGAGAGTCATATATCTGAACCAAATGCCCTAAGTGAAGCCGTTAGTCTCATCTGACTCCTCCTCTGACTCCTCCTCACCCTCCTCTGTGCCTCCTCCTCCGTGCCGGAGCCTCCTCCTCCTCCTCCGTGCCGGAGCCTCCACTACAGACGCTACCTTGCAGCACATCAACAGGTAGCCTATTGGGCCAGCAACCGCTCCAAGAAGCGCACTTTTGCCGCTGCATGGTACAACATGCCATGGCTTGAATATTCGTTAAAAGCAGACGCAGCCTTTTGTTTACCCTGTAGACAGTTTAAAGTAAATACGTCTTCATCTGATGCGGCTTTTACTGTCAAAGGTTTTTGCGACTGGAAACACGCATTACAGACTGATAAAGGACTGCTAAGGCATGCCGCATCAAAAGAACACATTTCATGTGAGAGCACTCAAAGAAATAACTCTTTGAATGAACGTAATTAAATCATGGACAATATTTCCACATGATTAAATCACTTTCTTTCAAGATTAAGCAATTTGATTGGTCCAACTTAATTTACTTGGGTTGGGTCAACGTAATCTATTAGGATTGATACTACTTATTTATAAGGTTTGTTACCAACTTAATTTACTTGGGTTGAGTCAACGTAATCTATTAGGATTGATACTACTTATTTATAAGGTTTGTTACCAACTTAATTTACTTGGGTTGGGTCAACGTAATCTATTAGGATTGATACTACTTATTTATAAGGTTTGTTACCAACTTGATTTACCTGGGTTGGGTCAACGTAATTGCTTAAAGCTGAAAGAAAGCCATTTCATCATGTGAAAATACTGTCCATGATTTAATCAAGTTCATTCAAAGAATAACTTTTGAGTGTTTACACATTTAAAACATTTAGAGTGAACAACAACAGAAACAGAATTTCAACAGTCTACAGTCTAGTGAGCTTCAAGGGTGGAAACATAACACAAACGCAAGATGTCTAAGTATGCAGATTAGAGAACATGCAATAAAAAAAGACCATTAAGAACACCATCTCAACCAACAAGCAGACTGGGTTTCACTGTATTAAATATAACAGTGAATATATATTTCACAAAATAGGCAAAGATAAACAATGCTTTGCACTGACAGACATTAAATATAACAGTGAATATATATTTCACAAAATAGCTTTACACTGACAGATGCTTGAAAAAAAACAGTTTCTTCCCAAATATTAAAATGTTTCAACTTTAGGGTGAACAATATAACAAACTTGAGTTTCAACACCAAATAAGGCAACATGGTAACATCTGCCTCCTCGCACAGCCCTCTGCTCAGTGAGGTCCACGTAACCATGCTACAGCCAACTTTGAATGCTTACTTTTATACTTCTTGCATATAATCAACATTTCTGTCAAAGAGGTGAGTCACCGAATCTCTGATGGCTGCGTGTTTGGAAGATGAGGCGATCCCAAACAGTGACATTAGGCACGGGAAAGCAATGTTTTGAGGACTTGTCCTTTTGTGGATAGTCTGTTTCCAGCTCCATCATTATTTTCTGCAGTGCTTCAAATGTAAACTTCAGCTCTGGAGGGTATAAGTTTAGAGCATACACGAGAGCAAACATCATCGCCACCGCAAAAGATACGTTTCCCAACTCATCCAGCACTTCGAGCCCCTCCAGAATGATCCCAACGTTCTCGGGGTCATCCCCAGGCTCTGCACCTTCGTGTCGAATGACAAATATTCCGAAGACCGTCTCTGATTGCCGTTTGACTGCTGTTGTCGATGCTCTGTGAAAAAACAAATAAGAAGGAGAGTGATTTTCACTGATGTGCATTACATCCCATTTCTATAATGTGTCATATTGAGCTTTATGTAGTTTGGGTTTTCCAAATTGAAAAAAAAGAAAGAACAAAAGACACTGTTTCCAAAAAGCATTAACACATCCAACATCATCAAAATGTAAAGGAAACATTTTCCTAAGTGTTAGTTTTAGAAGAAACACAATCCATTCCAACTATGATCATCCTCCTCTTTGTGAAGATAAAAAAGGTAAATCAACATACCATGTATTCCTTCACCAGCTTCTCTGGATCTTCGTTGAAGTATACACAAAGACCTTTGAGGATGCATTCGCGTCTCACGTCAATGCTGTCAGTCTAAGTATGCAGATCAGAGTACATGCAATAAAAAAGCCCATTAAGAACAACAAGCAGACTGGGTTTCACCGTTTCACAAATGTTTTCTTTAAAACCCTGAATGTAATATTGCACTTTAATTAAATGGGTTTAGTTTGGACAGATAATATACTATGCAATTTAAGCAATACATTTTTCTAAAAAAGGAAAACAATTAGTTGTCTTATTTTGAATATTTAAAATGGCTTTTTATTGAAGAAATACTTTTGCTTTAAAAAGGTAATCTGTTTCCAATTACTCGATTAATCAATGGAATAATTGATAGAATACTCGATTACTAAAATAATTGATAGCTGCAGCCCTACAGTACACTCAGTGACCATTGGGGTAGGAACATCTGCCATTTCCATGAAAGACTGCTGGACAGCTTTGTAGTGCGTTATTTTAGGCCTTCATAATAGTATGCCGCTCACTCTGATACAATGACCCCCACTGGGGGAATGGATGTGGTGCTAAGTGTCAAAAAAATATCGAAAACATAATGCTCCGGATGCTATGCTATTCACGGAACATCCTAGACTTTGTACAGCTCCTACAGTTTCTTTGTCACCTTTACATTGTTTTCATACCTGGGTTATGGGAAGCATGATGCTTTTGATCTTCTTCCCTTGAACTCCACCTTTCTTGGTATTCACGTCGATCAGGCTTGTAGAGTGAATATCCTGCGAAGAGAAGAACTTGGATTGCAAATTAATTGTTGTGATTCTCTTAAATTCTGCATTCACCTACAACAAAAAAACAAAACCCACAAAACTCAGATTGACTATTTTGATGTCACTGTTCACAGGTTTGATTTAGCAGTTCAGTCCGTTTAAGACATGTAATTGCATAAATTATGTATTTATTTATTTGATTCCTGCATACAAATGCCACTGTACATACAACATTCAGAATGTGTCTTTTATATGGCACATACTGTGCAGTCCGTAAGCATTCATTGTCTACTATATATATCCCAAAAAAAGTAGAAAGGGGACGTTCCTTCACACATTCATTCGCTTACCTCACGCACATGGAAGAGAGCCGGTGTTGCAGTATAACTTGAGTCTGGCAACTGGCGACATTCTATTATTTTCGTCATAGGAATCCGGGGCGTGTACATTGAGGACCCATTGTTGACTTACCATGTCGATCGCCTCGTTTGTCGTTTACGTTCATCTTTTGCTATATCTGCCTTCCTAAGATCACTTTGATGCACATTCAATACTCGTATGTGAGGTTGTGGGTGAGAGGTGGATATCGTGACGCTTACAGGGAGGTATCGAACATTACAAAGTAGGTGACTGTGTGGATGCCTGTTCAAAATATTGCAAACTTGAATAAATCATTTAAATTATATATTTGTGTCCGACTTTCATTTGTACATCGTTCTTAATGTGATGTATAGTAGCTTTGATAGCTGTCCATACCTTCAGACAGCCTAAAAGTAAAATACAAGTTGTTTATTCACAGCCCGAACGCTCATCGACATGACTGGATCACTCATGACAAGTTGTGATCAGCTCCGATTAAATTATGATATAAATGCTGTAGCTGTTCTCCAGGGAGCACGTTTTTTTAATTAAATACCTGTATCCTTCTCATCACAACAAGACTCTACACTGTGCAGGAAAAACAATTAGGCTACATACATGAAAATAACCTTGATGCATGGGAATGAAACACACAAACTATCGTGATATGTCACAGTAACCTACAGAAAAGTAAGTCCAGCGGGGCACACGTTGAATACATAAAACATTTGTACATTGTTCTTAATGTGATGTATAGTAGCTTTGATAGCTGTCCATACCTTCAGACAGCCTGATCACAACTTGTCATGAGTGATCCAGTCATCTCGATGAGCGTTCGGGCTGTGAATAAACGACTTGTGTTTTACTTTTAGGCTGTCTGAAGGTATGGACAGCTATCAAAGCTACTATACATCACATTAAGAACGATGTACAAATGAAAGTCGGACACAAATATATAATTTAAATGACTTATTCAAGTTTTCAATATTTTGAACAGGCATCCACACAGTCACCTACTTTGTAATGTTCGATACCTCCCTGTAAGCGTCACGATATCCACCTCTCACCCACACAGGGGCGGATCTAGAAAAATATTCATGGGGTGGCAAGAGGGTGGCAGGAGATTTTGAGGGGTGGCATCCCCTGACAGAAGTATATGCTGATTTAAATCGCAATCATATCAATCAATTAGGGGTGTAACGGTACACGTACCCGTACTGAAATTATTCGGTACGGGCCCTTCGGTTCGGTACACGTGTGTACCGAACGAATATAGCGTTAAACGTAAAAAATTGAGAACATGAACAACTTTCTGGAAGTAATCTATATCATAGAGCGACCAAGTCATTTCATTGGACGAGAGGCATACTATGAGAGCTGGTCAGAGGGATGCGTTCAAATGTAGTCAGTAATTTGAGGAACTGTCGAAATGGCGAACGCAGATAAAGTTGAGCTCGAAAATCCTCCGGCATCATTGAGGTCTCCGGTTTGGGAACATTTTGGTTTCGCAGTTACGTACAAGGATGACGGACAAAGACAGGTGGACCGAACCAAAGCTGTTTGTCGGCATTGTTCAACTAACATTGGTTACGCGGCTGGCAATACATCACACTCATTTGAAAAGGCATCACCCGAATGTGAATATTACCGGTACCAAAAGAAAAAAGACTGAAGTGCAAACCCAACTCCCACTAGCATGTAAGCCTCCACCACTCGCAAAGAGTTCAGACCGAGCCAAAGCTATTACAAACGCCAAATATCCTTATGTTGCCATGTTAGCAAAGCGCTACCTGGCTGTATCTGCTGCCACTGTCCCTAGAGAGGGTGTTCTCCACAGCAGGAGACATTGTTAGTGCCAGCAGATCTGCCCTTTCAGCAAGCAATATGGACAAGTTCATCTTTCTTTAAACAACATGAAAATACAATGACAAGCAAGTCCTAATGTCAAGCTGGCTGCTTAGGTACTAGTACAGTTCAAATACAGATTATTTCAGTTCATCGAAATGCTTCACCTTAATGTTTATTTTACTATATTTTGTATTTATTTGAATACATTAGTCACAGTTTAATAATAATTAAAAATATATATTTAATGTTTTGTGATAATTTTTTCTGCTGTACCGAAAACGTACCGAACCGAACCGTGACCTAAAAACCGAGGTACGTACCGAACCGAAATGTTTGTGAACCGTTACACTCCTACAATCAATGTTAACTTGGAAAGCCACAATATTAATATTTTAACTCAATCACATAGGTGATATTATTGTGGCACATCAGTAAAGCCTTACAAGGTGGCAGACGTAATTTAATGAATTTTAACTGAACAATAACTGAATGAGTTTGTTTCACTCTTAGACCAGCAGGGGTACCAATCTATGCAGACTGCTGCAATAAGTACATTAATTAACTGTCTCATCGATGTTTGTCTGAATGAATATGATACTATTAACAATCATATTATTCCTATCAGCTGTCAATCACTGTTAATAAATAATAATAATAATAATAGATTTAATTTGTTAGCGTTTTTACAGGTGCTCAAAGACGCTTTACAGATATAGTGAGGAACTGTTATGATTCACATATTCATTTATTATTGAATAAACTATATTTTTTGGAGGAGTTAATGATGAATGTTCATCAAGATGCTTGCTCACCCTCCTTCAAATTTGAAAAACAAGTAATTATATCATTATTGATATACAGTTACAACCTTGCCTTTACATCAGAAAGAACAAACATTAAAGAAGTGACTAACTGCATCAGTTAGGGTTAAAAAACGTGTATTCAGCTAAAACATAAACATCGCTGCAGTTATTATCCAGTGGAAGGTCCTTACCTACTGGCCTAGTTAAATCAAAGTGGTTACTTTCTGTTGGCTGGGCAGTGTAGTTTTACACACCGTCTTATTTTACTTTCTCAGGACTTAAAACTGTTTTTTGGGGGCAGACCTCCTCAAAGAAAAATATATATACACGCATACAAGGTCATCATCTTAACAGTTTGTTATTCTCATCGAGTCATCCGTGAGCAGAGCATCAAGTTGGCATGTCTATTGTCTATTGTCTAATGCGGCGATTACTATTTTATTCAGCAAAACGCCTCACAAACGTATTAAGATCAACAGCTGTAGTGCGTTTTGATTCAATGCTGAGTACAGCCAAACTTGACATTCTCTTCTCGGTCATTGTAGACCGCAACTACCTCATTCCTTCAGTACTTGGGTCCGAAAGGCTTCTCGTTTTGCGCCGTTCCCACGTTCAAGTGAATTCGCCACCAATCATATTTCCACTCTCGCGCCAGGACCGGGGGAGGGGTTACATGACGTGCATCTTGTGCTGCATTCACTTGCACTGGGACATTAGAGACTTTCTCTCATAAATGTCCGATGACCCACAACTTTTCTTTCAAAACAAAGATGCCAACTGGGGTGGCAGCTGGGGTGGCAAGGCTATTGTTTAGGGTGGCAGTTGCCACCCCATGCCACCCCGGTAGATCCGCCCCTGCACCCACAACCTCACATACGAGTACTGAATGTGCATCAAAGTGATCTTAGGAAGGCAGATATAGCAAAAGATGAACGTAAACGACAAACGAGGCGATCGACATGGTAAGTCAACAATGGGTCCTCAATGTACACGCCCCGGATTCCTATGACGAAAATAATAGAATGTCGCCAGTTGTCATGACTCAAGTTATACTGCAACACCAGCTCTAAACACTGAAAACCGGTTCTTAGCTGACCCCACTTGGCTGCCCGGCAAGAACCAAGAACCACGCTCACGTCGGAAGGGGGCTAGATTAACCTGAGCCATAATAACAGTTTATGGCGAGTACGGAAAATGAAAGTTGTAACAAGCAGTAGCACTGAGCAAAGTGAGAAGATCGTTCTTATTATACATCCATGGTGAAGAGCGGTTGAGAGACGTTTCTGTGACTGCCCAATGCTGCTCTTCTGAGACAACCCAGTCTCACGGCATTTCGTGTTCACCAACACGATTTTTGATCTATTGATTCGTGTTCACCAACACCATTTGCCCATTTTTTTTGTGTTGCACAGCACGATTTTAAAAGCAATGTATTTCTACTGCCTGCAGCACGTACTTTTCTCCGGTCGGGTCGTGGGAGACCGGAAGCTGTGTGGTTCATAAAAACATGTTCTTACTCAATATCAAGCCACAATTATTTCTTTTATTTTAAATCGTATAATTTCGGACTTTTGTTGCCGTCTGTGAGGAAAATAAATGGGACTCAGAGCCTCAGAATACGGAAATCTGTATTTTTAAATATTTTTTTCCTTCTAATTCGTTATTCTTTTCAAAATAACACACTGTTATTTACTCACCAATAACACACAATTATCCTTGCTTTTATTTATTGGTTTAATTCCATAATATCGGGCTTTTTTGGCGTCCGTTAGGAGCTGAATTTCAAAATAAAAATAACCGGAAACAGACGTAGGCCTATAAGGGACATTTCGAGCATCATTGCGATTGTCAACATTTCTGAGTTTAGGATGGCCGAAGACACTACACTACCCATAATCCCCAGCTATCGTTTAGGACTACAGTCCCCGTAAGGTTACGCAGAGCGTCAAACAGCTGTGTGAAATGGAATGAAACCACGCCAGACTATCCAAAACTGGAATCGAACGCCCCCCCAGAACTACACATGCTGGCTATTGTGTTTCGCAAAATGTT